GTAGGGAAAAGAATCTGAAAAAGAATAGATATATGTATAACTAAATCATTTTTCTGTACACCCAAAACTAACACAACATTGTAAATCAAATATACCCCAATATAAAATAAAATAATATTTAAAAAAATAAAATATTGATAAAAAACATTTGTATTTCTATGCACTAGCAATAAACAATCCAATAATGAAATTAAGAAGAGAAATCTATTTATAATAGCACGAAAAAGAATAAAATACTTAGGAATAAATTTAACAAAAGGAGCATAAGATCTACACACTGAAAACTACAAATCCTTATTGAAAGAAATTAAAGAAGGCCTAAATAAATTAACAAATCCTGCATTCCTTGGTCAGAGACTTAATATGTTAAGGCAGCAATATTACCCAAACTAATCTACAGATTCAATGCAGTCCCTATTAAAATTCATATGGAAGTGCAAGGGACCCAAAATAGCTCCCAAGAATATCTTGAAAAAAAGTTGAGGACTCACACTTCTTGACTTAAAAACTGACTACAAAGCTACAATCATCAACACAGTGTTTTACTGGCATAACAAGAGATATATAGATCAGTGGAAAAAGACTGAGACTCCAGAAATAAACCCTTATGTTGTGGTCAGTTGATTTCCTACAATTTGCTAAAGTAATTCAACGGAGAAGGAATAATTTTTTCAACAAATGTTGCTGGGACAACTGTATATCAACATGCAAAAGAATGAAGTTGGGATCCCAACCTCACGCTCTAAACACAAATTAACTCAAAATGGATCAAAGTACTAAATATAAGATCTAAAGTCATAAAACTCTTAGAAGAAAACATAAGTGTAAATAGTGCCCTTAGATTAGGCAATGGTTTCTTAGATGTGATAAAAAAAAAAGTACAAGCAGCAAAAGAAAAAAAATAGATAAATTGCAGTTCTTCAAAATAAAATACTTTGGTGCTTCACAGGAAACTATCAAAGTGAAAACATATCCCACAGAATAGAAGAACATATTTGTAAATCATATATCTCATAAGGATCTAGTATTGAGAATATATAAAAAGTTCTTACAACACAAAAATAAAAAGACAGATAACCCAATTTAAAAATAGGCAAAGGATTTGAATAGGCATTTATTAAAGAATATATACCAGTAGTCAAAAGCACATGAAAAGAGGCTCAACACCATTAGTCATGAAGGAAATGTAAATCAAGACTATAATGAGATACCACTTCACACCATCAAAAATGGCTAAAATTAAAAACGACAGACAATAAACAAGTGTTGGTGAGGTCATGGAGAAAGTGGAACCCTATGATATTGCTGGTGGAAATGTAAAACGTTACAGCCACTTTGGAAAATATTTGACAGTTCCCAAAAAGTTAAACGCAGATTTACCAATTGACTCAGCAATTCCATTCCTGGTATGTACTCAAGAGAACTGAAAACACGTCTACACACGTCTACACAGATACTTGTACATGAATGTTCATAGCAGCACTATTCGTAACAGCCAAAGGGTGGAAACAATCCAAATACCTATCAATTGATGAATGGATAAACAAATTGTGGTATATTTCTACAATAGAATACTCTGCAAGCATAAAAATGAATGAAGTATTGATACATGCTACAACATGAATGAGTCTTTAAAACATTACAATAAATGAAAGAAGCCAGTCACAAAGAACCACATCTTGTATGATTCCATTTACATGAAATGTCCAGAATAGGAAATCCATAGATATAGAAAGTAGATTAGTGGTGTCTAGTGCTGGGAGGAGGAGGTGGTGACAGAAAGTGACTGCTAAAGGACACAGGGTTATTTTGGGGGTGATGAAAATATCCTAAACTTAGACTGTGATCATGGATGCACAATATAGTTAAAACATTGAACTGCATACTTTAAATGGATGAATTTTATGGTATGTGAATTATATCTCAATACAGGTGTACCTTGTTTTATTGTGTTTTGCTTTATTGCACCTCACAGATATTGCAGTTCTTACAAACTGAAGGTTTGTGGCAACCCTGCATTGATCAAGTTTATTAGAG